CGCTGCAGCTGCGGCCTTGCGCGACGCCATGAAACTCGTCAGCCCCGCACCGAGCGCGAGCAGCAGCGTAAACAGAATCGACGGGAGCAGTGTCGACAGCGGCGGGCGCGGCGGCAGCGTCGACCGTGGCTTGGTCTTTTGCCCCTCGCGGCGGTGCGTGAACATGTGCGAAACCGCCGGTGGCGTCACGAGAAACGCCACGGTGCTGGCACCCGACCACGCCATGCGCGCCGGCCACAGCATCGCGTGTCCCGCCGCCGAAACCGCCCCGCGCGACGCACTCTCCCTCCTCGCGCCCGCCGCGTCCTGTGCACCACCCGCACCCGCGGCATCCCCATTGCCAGCCTTGCCCTCCTTGCCCTCCGCGCCCGAGCCGGGACCCAGCATGCGCATCCCCCACGTGAGCGTGCGTCCCATCGTATGCCGCGTCTTGCCCGCCACCTGCCCCACGCGGTGCGAGCGCTTGCTCACGTCGTCCCACGCAGTGAGCATGTAGCTTGCGCACAGGAAGCACGCCAGCGACAGCACCGTGAGACTCGAGATGCTCAGGAACAGCGTCATCTGCAGCACGGGCCGCAGCGGCGCCGACAGCTGGCGCGTGAGCGTGATGGCCAGGTTGCCCGCCGACGCCAGCTGCTTGTGCGCCACATTGAGGCTGTCGAGCAGCGCCGCGTCCGGCACCGACGTGGTGCGGCGATGGCTCGAGCCCGCGGCATGCGCGCCCGCGTGCCCAAACTCAAACGGACGCTCGCCGAGGATCGAGTTGCGACGGCTGCCCGGAAGCGAGAAGCTTGTCGATCTGCCCCCGCTCGCGCGCACACCGTGGCGTGCTCGGCGTGTGCTGTTGGATCGCGGCGGCAGCGTGTCGAATGGACTGGCGTATTCGCGGCCGGGCACACCGCCAAAGTTGAACGCCGGCTGACTGTGGCTTGCGGTGGGCGTCTCGTGAACGCTGGCTCGTCGAGGCCCCTCTGGCGCCGTGTCGAAGCTGACGTGCCGTTCGTGACGTGCGCTGCCCGCTTCGTCCTGGCCGACAGCAAAAGACGGCTGGTCCGGTCGATCAAAGTCGGAGCGCAAGATGGTTGGGGGAGATGTGAGGCTGGATCGAACCGTGGTGCGCGTGGTGCTGATGCGACGAGTGCGCTGCGTGGTGGTTGTGGTAGAGGAGGACGAGAAGGTGGCAAAGTGCACGTGGTCGGCGCCGTCATCGGAGCTGAGCTCGGGCGTGTCCGGCAGCGAGTGGTGCAGCGAGGCAGGCCTGGCTCGGTCGTGAGTGGCAGCGTAGTGGCTGAGGTGGATGGCGGAATGCGAGCTGGGCAGTCGGTACGACGCCGCGTTTGAATGGGCAAACACCGACGATGCCATGCCGTCCTCGCTCATGACGCGCATGCGTCGACCGTACGAGCCGCGCGAGCCTGCGTGGCTGGCGTCGACCGCAGGTGCGTGTGGAGGTGATGTAGATGAGCTTGCTGTCCATTGCGACGAGGCCAAGTCGGGGCTGTTGCCCGTGGTGCGGACACCCGACAGTCGAGATGATCCGGGCTGCGCAGACGCCGAGGTGCTGCTGGGAAAGACATAACGCAGATTGCTGGGCGGGCTGTGTCGACCGGTGGGGCTGGCGGTGTACTCGTCGCTAGAGACCTCTGCGCTGGAACCGGGCTGACTCGAGTGGTGGGCGTGGCTGTACGCGGTGGAGTCGGGTTGGCGGAGGCTGGAGCGCAGAGCCGAGCGGGGCAGGGTGGCCGATGTGCCCTGGAAGGAGGAGCGGCGGCTGGATGTGGCAGTGGAAGAGCCGGACCTGTCGTGGCGAGGCTCTTCCCTGGACAGGCCGGATAGCCTCTTCCAGGCACTGCGCTCGGAAGGCGTGGCGTTGGCGAGTGCCGGGTTGTTTCGTCGACGCGAGGCACTCGAGGAGCGCTGCGCCTTGCGAAGACGTTCTGCGAGCTGGCCGGGAGGAAGCACGTGCTCCCACCACTCTTGGCCGTTTGAGTCGTGAGCATGGGATGGCTCTGAACCTGGGATGCTGGAGCGGTTGGTGGTGGTAGAGGCTGTGCTGGTGCGGCGGCTGAGGTCTGACGAGGCGGAATACGAAGTCCTCCAGGTGCTGGAGGATGCGTCTGGCGACAACCACGGAGTGGAGGAGCCCGAGCTGCTCGACGAGCGCGACGGCATTGTGGCGGGGATGGCCATGTCGGCGAGGCCTCGATGCGGCAGTGTTGGATGAGGCGAGCTTGCTACACAGCAGCCGACTAATGCAGCGCCCGCGATATGGTGAGCAATGTTGCGGTCGTCGTCGCAACCAAGGGGTGATTGTGATGGAGCGGAGACGGGAAGAGGGTCCGGTTGTAGGCACGAGCGACGATAAGACGAGCAGAGGTGGAGATCGCAAGTGATGATGGCGGAGAAAATCGATGCCTATGCTGATGGTGATGCGGATGGTGATGCGGATGGTGATGCTGAGCGGTGGGGGAATGAGAGCAGGCTGTGAGGTGCCAACGTGTGCATGAACAGTCAAGTCGAGTTGAGTGTATGCGGCTCGGCCCGACCGAAGCTGCGAGACTGGCAGGCCAGGGTCTCTGCGAGATCGAGACGAGCAAAAGAGCTTAACGGAGAGGAGTCTGAATCGACAGCTGCGCTCGAGGCGACTTGTTGGCAGGTCGGATGATGCCGTGTGATGAGCCGGGACGAGTTGGTTGGTGGCGTGATGAGTAGGCTCGTTGGAATGCCCAATGCGATGCGGGCGTGTGAAAAAAGAAGCTGCCAACGCCAGTATCGCTTCTCGTATGCGTTCGGCTCAGCCGGTCAAATGGCAACGGGATGAGGAGGAGCGGCCGAGCCGGGAGCAGCCGAGCAGCTCTGATTTCACGGTAAGCCACGCAAAGCACGATAAGCACTCGCGCGGCCCCTCTCAAAGCTTCGCAACCGCCGCCAAATGAAGCGGGACCCTTGCCCGCGCCCGCTTGGTTAAGCGCATTCCAAGCCGACGCTTCCGACTGCATCCGTATTGCCTTACTCGATGCACTGCGACAGTCACCCCTCGCTAAGAAAGCATCATCTCGCTTTACTCCAACGTACGCTCCCCGAGGCGGTTCGTATGCGAGTGAAAAAAGCGAGGGCAAAGGGGGGGGGGGGGGTTGTTTGGCTTGGGGCTG